TTCCACTGGAGACTGGTTCTGTACTGCACAGGCAGGCGACCGCGTTCCCTTGCCATCTCCTCTGCTTGAGTCCAGGAATCTGAGTGTAACCAGGAGGGCGCTGCCCCAGGGCCCCTGCAAGCCGAAGCCAGCCCACCTCCAAGGCCTGACACACAGTTCTAAACACCTCATCCTTTAGACCTTACAAGCTGGTTTTTTGCTCCTTACTGCAAAACATCCTAAACTAAAATATTTTCAAGTGATTTTTAAATTATATGTGGAATTAGTTATAAAAGGATATCTGAGGCAGGCGCGTGGCTCACGCCTAGTAATCTTAGCACTCGTGGACGGTCGAGCAGGGATTCGTTGATGAGCCAGGAGTTTGAGACCCAGCTGAGCCAGAGCAGACCCTGTCTCTACCAAAACTAGAAAAAAATTAGCCCCCCCGGGGCAATGTGCGCATGCCTGTAGTCAGCTACTCGGAGCTAAGAGCGAGATCGCTTGACCCAGGAGTTTATGGTTGCTGCTAGCTCTAGGTTGATGCATGGCACTCTAGCGTCTGGGCACAAGTGAGAGTCTGTCTCAAAAAATAAACCAAAAGTAATAAATTAAAAAAAAACAAGGAAAAGACATATGATATTTTACCTATGTTATAGTTTATATATTAGTTGGTGACCCCCCAATTTTTTTCCTTATGAAAGTTCAAGGATCGCCATAAACTTGGGCCAATATGGTAAGTGCTAATTGAATGTTTACTAAATGAATAAACACTGCCAGAGAGACATGAACTGACCTCCTTGTGGGGTGACCCTGGCCTGCAGGATGGCTGATTCCATAGCCCCACAGGGTCCATAGGGATGGGGACAACACATCCACCAGTACCTAAAGAATCCCGTCTTCAGGCCATAGCTTCGGAGGATACATTCCGTTGAAGGCACACGTGGAGCCCTTGAAAGAAAAGGTATTGTCTGGGCAGGCCCCATCCAGCCGCCATAAGGGACCCCCCCCACACCTGGTCCTGCCCTCACCTTCCCCTTGTCCAGTGACATGGATGATGTTCAGCCCGTCCAAGTCTCCACCTGGACAGACAGACAAGGTCCCCACCTCAGATAGGACTCACGACAGATGGGGTTGGGGGGTGGTCACAGGCCCTCCTACCCTACCTGCAACCCACTCCGTGCCAGGTACTGCTCCATGGCTTCAAGCTGTGTCTGGGGTCGCCCCGTTGGCGCTTCACCTGTTCCAGGTAGCGGCATTGGTCTGCAGGGTGTTGAGCATGCGCACTGCATCTGGCAAGCACAGTCACCAGGTAGCAAGTTAAGGCTCGTAAGGGTCCACAGGGATGGAGACACCCAGCATACACCAGTGGCCAAGCCGGGTAACAGGGCTGGCACCGGTTTCAGTGCCACACCCGTTGCCCCAGCTGTAAATTAAGCAACAGAGAAAGATACTAACAAGTGGCATCTTTCCAGCTCTCCAAAGATGGAGCCTGGGGCAATTCAGCCCCACCAGGAGTGCCAAACAAGAAGTGGCGTGCTAACGGTGCTAGCCTTGCTTCTCTCGAGGTTCCCAGGCTTTACCCCTGGACTTTGCCCTCACCCCTCCAGGGGGGGTCCACCACTACATTGGGCCCCTTCATGGGGGTAGGGCTAGAACCTCAAGCTAGCCTATTAGAATTCGGAATTCCTGAATTCACACCCAACCCTGGAGGATCTGGATTGCACACATTCTTGACCCAGAGAAGGGCTGCTTGAAGCGACCAGATGGGAAAGGAGGCTCGCAGGGAGGGTCACCCAGCTGCGGAGGAGGTAACACTGCCTCAGGCACTGGGCTGAGAGTACGGTGCTGCTCATTTCCCTGCCTCAGATTGCCAGCCCTTGTCCTCAGGGCTCATGGCGTGAGGCCCCCCCCCATCAAACCGGTGTCACCTGCCTGGCTGGCGCTGGTTCTGGTCTCTGGCAACTGGCCCTGGCACAACGCCCGCCAGAAATTTCCTGTTTCCAGATTCTCGCCCTCCCCTGATTCTGCCGCCACCCAATTCAGGCACCTGGATCCCCAATTCCTGAATCCTGGAGACTCTGCCCCCCAGTTCTATACTCTGGATCTTTCGAGTCTGAATTCCCGAATCCTCCCTCCCCCAACCCTTGTTCGGATTCCGCGGGTCACCGAACTCAGAACCTGAGCTGAGCCTCTGACTTCAGGTGCTACACCACTGCCCGTCCCTCCCTATGCAGGACACTGAAGCCTCAGAATTCCAGATCCGGCGGCCCGGGCCAACTTCCTGGTCCCTGTCCCCACCCCCAGACGCCAGGATGTTCCCGCCCCTGAGGCCCCCAGTCCAGGGCTCCTTATACCTCAGCAGGCGGAGCGGATGCCGAGAGGCTCAGGCCAGCCCACGTGTCATCGCATGACCCGCCGCCGCCCGCCAGATACCTGATACTCCATGCTAGGCTCCTGCGGCACCGGCCACGCGCTCAACTCCGCCTGCGCGCCCCGGCTCGTTGCGCCGCGCGCGGAAACCGCTGCAGGGACAGAGCTGCGCGCAGGTGACTCGCCGCCTGCGACATAGTCCGGCGCGGATGGCAGCGCGCTCAGCAGGGGCGGGTCCCGGCTCGCCCCAGCCGCCCGCCTCGCTCCGCCCGGCGCCCCCCGCGCTCGGCCAACCAGCTGCGCCCAGACGCGCGCGCCATCCTTGTGCGGCAGGCCCGGCCCACGTTTGTGCGGGCACGCTCCGGGGCCGTCCTCTCCTTGGTCACCAGTGCTGTTGTCACCATCCTCCCGAGGGCCCGTCCGCAGACCCAAAATAGCCAGTCCAGCCAGCAGCCCTGAGCCTCCGCTTCAGGCCGAACCAGCTCCGAGCCGGGATAGAATGACAGGGCCGGCGGACTCCTGGCGGAGGTCACCGCATCCCGGCCAGAAAAGTTCCAAGTCAACGCGCAGACTGCGAACAGAGAGGATTTGGCCTCTGCTCTCACGAATCTGGCAGCCAAAGCCCAGGCACCTACACTCCTGGGCCCCTAACCGAGCCCGAGGAGCCTGGGAAGGCTTCTGGAAGAGCGACACCGGGCTGTGGCCTGCGGGATGGGGGCGCGCGAGTTGGAGGTGCGGGAGAGGTGTTTGGGAACCGCGCACCCGAGGAACTGCATGGCCACCTGGTTGGGTCTAGTTGCTCCGGAGGGCTAGGATGCCAGATGCAGCAGGACCTTGCAGCCAGATAAAGAATTTGGATTAAATATTGGATGACAATAAATGGTTTTAAGGAGGATGACATGATGGATCCGCACTTAGGAAACTCCCAAGCCGCTGCCGCAGTGTGGAGAATGGATTAAGGGCCACTGAGCAGGGTGGGAGCTGGGGGCTGGGAGAGTAATCTTTCCCACCTACCGGCGAGGAGAACGCCACTAGTTCTGGAATTTTCGAAAAATTTCCCCATCTATTACCTTCTTGTCCCTGACAGCTGCAGACAGCCCACTGGGAAAATCCCTTGAATAAAAGGCAATCCTGAGACTGACTGCTTCAGTACCTCTGTCCTCCCTCCCTCTTCCCGGCATTGGCAGTAAATATTTATCACAAGTTGTTTGACTTCAAATTAAGCAAGTAATGCTTTGGAAGATTCCATTATTGGCTGGACTTCTCTTCACACTGCTGGGTGCCGCCCACAGCCTGGTGGGAGAGACAGTTCTTTCTCTTTTGGTTTCCTTCTTTTTGGTCATTGAAACTTTATCCATGTGCATGTATATAGTGTAATACTGTGTAAACATAATCATAAAAGCTTTAAATATTTTTCTTTTGCTTACCCCTCCATATGCACCACACACACAACACTTTCTCCTTTGATAATCCTGGTGGACAGCCATGTTTATGTCCCACAGTTTTCTATGCCTGTGAGATTGCAGGCACACGTAGACACTCGTAGGGTCTTGTTGATGATGTAGGTAACAATATTTTCTGCTTTTTTTTCCCTGAGAACTACAGGTATGGGATATTTTCTGCATCTGAACTTTCTACTCAAAAATAAGCTTAAGGCACTTAATTAGCAAACGAACACTCCCTGATAAATACTTTTGACACAGTTGCTCATTTAGTCCTCATCACAACCCTACAAAACAGGTACTGGTATTATCATCATCCTTGTTTCACAAGAGAAGAAACTGAGGCACAAAGGATCAAAGCACATGCTCAAGTGGCAAAATCAAGATTTTGAACTCTGGGCCCAGCGTCCTTATTCCTAGCCCCTGTGCCTCCCTCCCTTCCTCCCCAGGGACAGCTGCTAATTCAGCGTCTGTGCCAGCTGTGTGGCCTTCCTGGGATATCCACGCCGTCCTGCTGGCGGCGCTCACTCTGACTTCAGTGTTTTTGCTGCTGCGGACGTGCGTGCGCTTGGTCCCGCGTTGTGTTTCTGTGAGTCTGAGTGCGCGAAGTGGTGGGGTTGGGTCCGAGCATATCTGCGTCCCTTTCCCCAATGCTGTTGTAGCCTTTGCATCCCACCGGTGCGTGTGAAGAGAGCACCCCTTTCCCAGAATGACCCAGACCCTAGGGTGCAGAGTGCCATCTCCTTGTTTCTCTCATTTCCTGGCCGCAGTGAACTTGAACATCTTTGCTTGCATTTGTTCAGTGGACTGCCTCCTATCTTTGGCCATTTTTCTAGTGTCTGTTCATTACTCTCTTGTCAATTATAAAAGCAGTTTGTGTAACACAGATATTACACCTCACTTCTGTCCTCTGTAGGGCAAATATTTTTCCTAGGTCAGGCACGGGGGCTCGCCTAATCCTAGACTCTGGGAGATGAGGCGGGTGGATTGCTCGAGGTCAGGAGTTGGAAACCAGCCTGAGCCAGAGCGAGACCCCATTCTACTATAAATAGAAAGAAATTAATTGGCCACTTATATAGAAAAAAATTAGCCGGGCATGGCAGCACATGCCTGTAGTCCCAGCTACTCGGGAGGCTGAGGCAGCAGATCGCTTGGCCCAGGAGTTTGAGGCTGCTGTGAGTCCACATGCCCATCTGTATACAGAGGACAATCACAGTATCCCTAAAGCGGCTGTGAGGATAAACCAATACCTTTAATGCTAAATGCTACACAGGGAACAATATGTGCTGTGTTTATCATTCTCCGTCTTGTGGGGCAGGTGACAGGGTTGAGGTCCTCCCTCCTGAAACCCTTTTTTCTCTGGGCTTCCTGACACCTCACTCTCCAGTTTTCCTCCTCCTTCGCCAGCTGCACCAGCTCCCCATGGATTGTTCCCTCGAGGGCCGGGGCTCATGCCTCCTTTGCCCAGGTGGTCTCCTGCCAGTCTGGGCCTGCAAAATCTGACTCCCAAATATCCCTCTTTGCTGAGCTACACTAGAAAAATGGGCCAAAGATGAGGGAGGCAGTCCACTGAAACAAATGCAAGCAAAGATGTTCAAGTTCACTGCGGCCAGGGAAATGAGAGAAACGAGGAGATGGCACTCTGCACCCTAGGGTCTGGGGTCATTCTGGGAAAGGGGTGCTCTCTTCACACGCACTTGGTGGGATGCAAAGGCTACAACAGCATTGGGGGAAAGGGACGCAGATATGCTCGGACCCAACCCCACCACTTCGCGCACTCAGACTCACAGAAACACAACGCGGGACGCAAGCGCACGCACGTCCGCAGCAGCAAAACACTGAAGTCAGAGTGAGCGCCGGCCAGCAGGACGGCGTGGGATATCCCAGGAAGGCCACACAGCTGGCACAGACGCTGAATTAGCAGCGTCCCTGGGGAGGAAGGGAGGGAGGCACAGGGGCTAGGAATAAGGACGCTGGGCCCAGAGTTCAAAATCTTGATTTTGCCACTTGAGCATGTGCTTTGACTCCTTTGTGCCTCAGTTTCTTCTCTTGTGAAACAAGGATGATGATAATACCAGTACCTGTTTTGTAGGGTTGTGATGAGGACTAAATGAGCAACTGTGTCAAAAGTATTTATCAGGGAGGTGTTCGTTTGCTAATTAAGTGCCTTAAGCTTATTTTTGAGTAAGAAAGTTCAGATGCAGAAAATATCCCATACCTGTAGTTCTCAGGGGAAAAAAAAGCAGAAAATATTGTTACCTACATCATCAACAAGACCCTACGAGTGTCTACGTGTGCCTGCAATCTCACAGGCATAGAAAACTGTGGGACATAAACATGGCTGTCCACCAGGATTATCAAAGGAGAAAGTGTTTGTGTGTGTGTGCATATGGAGGGGTAAGCAAAAGAAAAATATTTAAAGCTTTTTATGATTATGTTTACACAGTATTACACTATATACATGCACATGGATAAAGTTTCAATGACCAAAAAAGAAGGAAACCAAAAGAGGAAAGAACTGTCTCTCCCACCAGGCTGTGGGCGGCACCCCAGCAGTGTGAAGAGCAGAAGTCCAGCCAATAATGGAATCTTCCCAAAGCATTACTTGCTTAATTTGAAGTCAAACAATCTGTGATAAATATTTACTGCCAATGCCGGGAAGAGGGAGGGAGGACAGAGGTACTGAAGTCAGTCAGTCTCAGGATTGCCTTTTATTCAAGGGATTTTCCCCAGTGGGCTGTCTGCAGCTGTCAGGGACAAGAAGGTAATAGATGGGGAAATTTTTCGAAAATTCCAGAACTAGTGGGCGTTCTCCTCGCCGGTAGGTGGGAAAGATTACTCTCCCAGCCCCCAGCTCCCACCCCGCCCAATGGCCCTTAAATCCATTCTCCACACTGCGGCAGCGGCTTGGGAGTTTCCTAAGTGCGGATCCCATCATGTCATCCCTCCTTAAAACCATTTATTGTCATCCAAATTTAATCCAAATTCTTTATCTGGCTGCAAGGTCCTGCTGCATCTGGCATCCTAGCCCTCCGGAGCAACTAGACCCAACCAGGTGGCCATGCAGTTCCCTCGGGTGCGCGGTTCCCAAACACCTCTCCCCGCACCTCCAACTCGCTGACGCCCCCATCCCGCAGGCCACAGCCCGGGTGTCGCTTCTTCCAGGAAGCCTTCCCAGGCTCCTCGGGCTCGGTTAGGGGCCCCAGGAGTGTAGGTGCCTGGGCTTTGGCTGCCAGATTCGTGAGAGCAGAGGCCAAACCCTCTCTGTTCGCAGTCTGCGCGTTGACTTGGAACTTTTCTGGGCCGGGATGCGGTGACCTCCGCCAGGAGTCCGCCGGCCCTGTCATTCTATCCCGGCTCGGAGCTGGTTCGGCCTGAAGCGGAGGCTCAGGGCTGCTGGCTGGGACTGGCTATTTTGGGTCGTGCGGACGGGCCCTCGGGAGGATGGTGACAACAGCACTGGGTGACCAAGGGAGAGGACGGCCCCGGGAGCGTGCCCCGCACAAACGTGGGCCGGGGGCCTGCCCCGCACAAGGATGGCGCGCGCGTCCTGGGCGCAGCTGGTTGGCCGAGCGCGGGGGGCGCGCCGGGGCGGAGCGAGGCGGGCGGGCTGGGGCGAGCCGGGACCCGCCCCTGCTGAGCGCGCTGCCATCCGCGCCGGGACTATGTCGCAGGCGGCGAGTCACCTGCGCGCAGCTCTGTCCCTGGCAGCGGTTTCCGCGCGCGGCGCAACGAGCCGGGGCGCGGCGAGGCGGAGGTTGAGCGCGTGGCCGGTGCCGCAGGAGCCTAGCATGGAGTATCAGGTATCTGGCGGGCGGGCGGCGGGTCATGCGATGACACGTGGGCCGGGCCTGAGCCTCTCGGCATCCGGCCTCCGCCTGCTGAGGGTATCAGGAGCCCTGGACTGGGGGCCTCAGGGGCGGGAACATCCTGGCGTCTGGGGGTGGGGACAGGGACCAGGAAGTTGGGCCCGGGCCGCCGGATCTGGGAATTCTGAGGCTTCAGTGTCCTGCATTAGGGAGGGACGGGGCAGTGGTGGTAGCACCCTGAAGTCCAGAGGCTCAGCTCAGGTTCTGGAGTTCGGTGACCCCGGAATCCGAACAAGGGGTTGGGGGAGGGAGGATTCGGGAATTCAGACTCGAAAGATCCAGGAGTATAGAACTGGGGGGCAGAGTCTCCAGGATTCAGGAGATTGGGGATCCAGGTGCCTGGAATTGGGTGGCGGGCAGGAATCAGGGGAGGGCCGAAGAATCTGGAAAACAGGAAATTTCTGCGGGCGTTGTGCCAGGGGCCAGTTGCCAGAGACCAGAACCAGACGCCAGCCAGGCAGGTGACACCGGTTTGATGGGGGTGGGGCCTTCAACGGCCATGAAGCCCTGAGGACAAGAGGCTGGCAATCTGAGGCCCCAGGGGAAATGAGCAGCACCCCTACTCTCAGCCCCAGTGTCCTGAGGCAGTGTCTACCTCCCTCGCAGGCTGGGTGACCCTCCCTGCGAGCCTCCTCTTCCCCATCTGGTCGCTTCAAGCAGCCCTTCTCTGGGTCAGAATGTGTGCAATCCCAGAGTCCTCAGGGTTGGGTGTGAATTCCAGGAATTCCGAATTCTAATAGGCTAGCCTTCTGAGGTTCTAGCCCTACCCCAGAAGGGGCCCAATGTAGTGGTGGACCCCCCCCTGGAGGGGGTGAGGGCAAAGGTCCAGGGGGTAAAGCCTGGGGAACCTCGAGAGAAGCAAGGCTAGCTCCGTTAGGCACGCCACTTCTTTGTTTGGCACTCCCTGGGTGGGGCTGAATTGCCCCAGGCTCCCATCTTTGGTAGAGCTGGAAAGATGCCACTTGTTAGTATCTTTCTCTGTTGCTTAATTTACAGGCTGGGGCAACGGGGTTGGCACTGCAAACCGGGTGCCAGCCCTGTTACCCCGGCTTGGCCACTGGTATGCTGGGTGTCTCCATCCCTGTGGACCCTTAGTGAGCCTTAACTTGCTACCTGGTGACTGTGCTTGCCAGGATGCAGTGCGCATGCTCAACACCCTGCAGACCAATGCCGGCTACCTGGAACAGGTGAAGCGCCAACGGGGCGACCCCCAGACACAGCTTGAAGCCATGGAGCAGTACCTGGCACGGAGTGGGTTGCAGGTAGGGTAGGGAGGGCCTGTGACCACCCCCCAACCCCATCTGTCTGTGAGTCCTATCTGAGGTGGGGACCTTGTCTGTCTGTCCCAGGTGGAGGACTTGGACGGGCTGAACATCATCCATGTCACTGGGACCAAGGGGAAGGTGAGGGGCAGGACCCAGGTGTGGGGGGGTCCCCTTATGGGGCTGGTGGATGGGGCCTGCCCAGACAATACCTTTTCTTTCAAGGGCTCCACGTGTGCCTTCACGGAATGTATCCTCCGAAGCTATGGCCTGAAGACGGGATTCTTTAGGTACTGAGTGATGTGTTGTCCCCATCCCTATGGACCCTGTGGGGCTATGGAATCAGCCATTCCTGCAGGGCCAGGGTCACCCCCAGGAGGTCAGCTTCATGTCTCTCTGGGCAGTGTTTATTCATTTAGTAAACATTCAATTAGCACTTACCATATTGGCCCAAGTTTATGGTGATCCTTGACTTTCATAAGGAAAAAAATTGGGGGGGGGGCACCAACTGGAATATATAAACTATATACATAGGTGGAATAGTCATTATGTCTTTTTCCTTTGTTTTTTTTTAATTATTTTACTTTTGTTTATTTTTTGAGACAGACTCTCACTCTGTTGCCCAGGCTAGAGTGCCATGGCATCAACCTAGCTCACAGCAACCTCAAACTCCTGGGCTCAAGCGATCCTCCTGCCTTAGCCTCCCGAGTAGCTGGGACTACAGGCATGCGCCACCATGCCCGGCTAATTTTTTTCTAGTTTTGGTAGAGACAGGGTCTCGCTCTGGCTCAGGCTGGTCTCGAACTCCTGAGCTCAAACAATCCACCTGCCTCGACCTCCACGAGTGCTAAGATTACAGGCGTGAGCCACTGCGCCCGGCCTCAGATATCTTTTTAATAACTTAAATTCCACATATAATTTAAAAATCACTTAGAAATATTTATTAGTTAGGATGTCTTTGCAGTAAGGAGCAAAAAACCAGCTTGTAAGGGCTTAAAGGATGAGGGTGTTTAGAACGTGTGTGTCAAGGCCTTGGAGGTGGGCTGGCCTTCGCTGCAGCGGGGCCCTGGAGGCAGCGCCCCCTCCTGGTCACACTCAGATGCCTGGACTCAAGCAAGAGGATGGCAAGGTGGAACCCGGGTCGCCCCTGCCTGTGCAGTACAGAGCCAGTCTCCAGTGGAACAAAGAATTAATCTGATGGTTACTTCCTCAGGATTTGGCCCTGTGGTTGAGGCATTTAAGACTTTGCCTCTTTTTAATCTTACCAGTTCCCTCAGGCCAACTCTGTAAGCATCTGACACCAGCTGACTAAGGTCATTTCAGGCCAATGTTTTCCCTATTTCACTTCAAGAAATAGGCCCAGGCCATGCGCAGTAGCTCATGCCTGTAGTACTCTGGGAGGCCGAGGCGGGCCGATAGCTCAAGGTCAGGAGTTCAAAACCAGCCTGAGCAAGAGCAAGACCCCGTCTCTACTATAAATAGAAAGAAATTAATTGGCCAACTAATATATATAGAAAAAATTAGCCAGGCATGGTGGCTCATGCCTGTAGTCCCAGCTACTCAGGAGGCTGAGACAGGAGGATCGCTTGAGCCCAGGAGATTGAGGTTGCTGAGAGCTAGGTTGACACCACGGCACTCACTCTAGCCTGGACAACAAAGCGAGACTCTGTCTCAAAAAAAAAAAAAAAAAGAAAGAAAGAAAGAAATAGACCCAGTGTGGTGGCTCATGCCTGTAATCCTAATACTCTAGGAGGCCCAGGAGGGAGGATTGCTCGAGGTCAGGAGTTTGAGACCAGCCTGAGCAAGAGCGAAACCCCATCTCTACTAAAAGTAGAAAGAAATTATCAGGACAACTAAAAATATATAGAAAAAATTAGCCGGGCATGGTGGCGCATGCCTGTAGTCCCAGCTACTCGGGAGGCTGAGGCAGAAGGATCACTTGAGCCCAGGAGTTTGAGGTTGCTGTGAGCTAGGCTGATGCCATGGCACTCTAGCCCAAAAAAAAAAAAAAAAAACAAAATCAAGAAATAGAAGGACTCATAATTCAGGATTCAAACACAAAGCATCAATCTGTCTTCTAAAATACTTTTTGGGTTAAAACCCCTAAGCTTTGTCGTGGGCACACGTGGCCTTGTCGACCAGCCTGGGAGGCAGCTTGAGGCAGCCTGTGCCCAGGGCTGGAGGACAGACAGCGTGGAGGGGCAGCTGTTAGCAGAGTGACTGATCGGTGTGGGACGGGGAGCCCGGAGAACACGACAGACCAGCCTTGGGGTGAAGGCCCTTCTCCTTTCAGAGGAGGGGCCGTCTCAGTTGAGGCCTGTGCCGCGAGCAGGGTGAGCGGTGAAGGGCAGGGGCAAAGGCCTGGAGTTCGTAGGCGTGTGGGCTGGAGGGGCTGCTAATACTCCAGGGGGGCTGGGGCCCCAGGAATGAGCCAAGGGACACAGGAGAGGTGTGCACAGGCCGGTGGCATTAGCCCCTGCAGAGGCTGGGAGGCCACGGTGAGGAGCTGGCACTCTTGAGGACTTCAGGGAGCCAGGGGGGGTTTCCAGCAGGGGAGTGACATGATCAGACTTGTGTTTCCAGAAGACAAGCCTCACTGCAGGGCGGGGGCAGGTGGGGGGTGGAAGGGAGTCCCGATGACCCCAGGTCTCCCGGCAGCTCTCCCCACCTGGTGCAGGTGCGTGAGCGGATCCGCATCAACGGGCAGCCCATCAGCCCTGAGCTATTCACCAAGCACTTCTGGCGCCTCTACCACCGGCTGGAGGAGACCAAGGTGCCCTGTGCGGGAGGGGTCATGGGTGGGGAGGGTAGGGGGTGCGGCATGTGCCAGGACCCCAGCTCCCCAGAGCAGGGGTTGCAGGGGCTCTGGGCTCTGACACACTCCTGTGCCACAGGACAGCAGCTGTGTCTCCATGCCCCCCTACTTCCGCTTCCTCACGCTCATGGCCTTCCACGTCTTCCTCCAAGAGAAGGTACGTGCCCATCCCCGGATTCCTGAGCTGAGGCCTTGGGGGTGGGAATCTCAGCAGGCTGGGGGGCCCCCTGCTCCCCTGTGGCGTCTGGGCACCCCCATGCTCTCTGCTCTTTGGCAGGTGGACCTGGCGGTGGTGGAAGTGGGCATCGGCGGGGCTTATGACTGCACCAACATCATCAGGTGAGGGCAGCTGCTTGGGGACGGGGTGGCAGCCAGGAGCCCAGGCCTCACCCACTGCCTGGTGGCTCAGGCCGGGGGCCTCATGGCTCTTTCATCTTCTGTAGGAAGCCTGTGGTGTGTGGAGTCTCCTCTCTTGGCATCGACCACACCAGCCTTCTGGGGGACACGTTGGAGAAGATCGCATGGCAGAAAGGGGGCATCTTTAAGGTGACCAAGCAGCTAGGGGAGAGGAGGCGAGGGAAGGCCTGGGCCTGGCTAGGCTCAGGGAAGCAGGGCTGGGGCAGGGCCCTTTGTGTCCTGACTCGGGACGAGGTCCTGGGTGCCAGTGGGCTCTGGGTTCTTACCCAGCGCTGCTGTGTGACTGGAGCGAATGGAACCTCCTCCCCAGCCTCAGTCTCCCCTCTGGACCACGGGGGATAAGAGGCTGAGTGGTAGCCCAGACCCCGGGATTGAGGGATGGAGGATACTAGGCAGCCCCTGTCTCTCCCTGTTCCCTGCAGCAAGGTGTCCCTGCCTTTACTGTGCTCCAGCCCGAAGGTCCCCTGGCAGTGCTGCGGGATCGAGCGCAGCAGATCTCAGTGAGTGTGGCTGGAATGGCAGGGCAGGCTGGGTGGGCGGGTGTGGGTGTCTGTCCTCACTGGGGCGGCTCTTTCTCCCTTTGGGCCTCAGTGGCTCATCGGTGCAGTGAGAGGGGGCAGCTGCTTGCACGGCTGGAACGCAGCTCTGGGAGCAGGGCTCAGTGGGTGCTGGTCGGCAGGGGGAGATGGGAGGGCTGGCGGGGTCCGGTGGTGGCAGCAGCTCTGCTGACCAGCTGCTGCCTGTCTCCCCACAGTGTCCTCTCTACCTGTGCCCACCGCTGGAAGCCCTGGAGGAAGGGGGGCCACCGCTGACGCTGGGCCTGGAGGGAGAGCACCAGCGGTCCAATGCTGCCTTGGCCTTGCAGCTGGCCCGCTGCTGGCTGCAGCAGCAGGACCACCAGGGTGAGTGGGCAGGGGAGTGGGCGGGTGCATGAGGAGCCGGCCTCGTGAGGGCCCTGAGCACACTCGGTCTCATGCACCCCACAGGCGCTGGGGAGCTGAAGGCGTCCAGGCCGAGCCTCCTGTGGCAGCTGCCCCTGGCACCGACGTTCCAGCCCACGTCCCACATGCAGCTCGGTGAGTTGCACCTTCCTGCCCAGCTGGGACCACTGCTTGTGTTTGTGCCCCTCAGGTGTTCTTTTCATTTCCTGTTTGGGAGGTGGGGGCAATTTGAGCTGGTGCTTAAGAGAAAGGACTGTGAAGTCAGTAAACTTCCCTAGCCTTGAGTTCACGAATTCTTTCTGAGCCTCAGTTTCCTCATCTGTCAAATGGGATGACGATAGGACCCACTGTCAGGGGCTGTTGTAGGGATTCAGTGAGCTGATATTACTAAGGTGTCCAGAGCCTGGTGGATGTGGGATAAAGTGCCCAGCTAGTGGTAGCTGCTGTGTCACTGTCATCATCAGACCATGAGGTTTCTTTTTTTTTTTTTTTTTTTTTTGAGACAGAGTCTCACTGTTGCCCAGGCTAGAGTGCCGTGGCGTCAGCCTATCTCACAGCAACCTCAAACTCCTGGGCTCAGGGGATCCTTCTGCCTCAGCCTCCTGAGTAGCTGGGACTACAGGCATGCGCCACCATGCCCAGCTAAGACCATGAGGTTCTTAAGGATGGTGATAGTCATCCACTTCTTGCCTGCCCCAAAGCTGTCAGCACATAGTAGGTGCTCATGCTGTTAATGGTGTGCCCACTGTGTGCCAGGTCCAGTGTCAGAGGCTAATGACACAGCCCTGGGGCCAGGCAGACCTGGGATCACATCCTGGCCCCAGGACTCACTTGCACTGTGAGCAAAGGGCTCTCCGGCTGTCACGTGGGAATAATACATAATGGCAGCCCCCTTGGGGTTGCCTGAAAGCTTCCACTGGGTGAGGAGGCTGAAGAGGCATACCCAGTGCCTGGCGGTAGTGAGAGGGGAGAGCCAGTTGTGTGTGCCTTGTCGAGGACTGGGTGGGAGAGGACTCCGGAGGGCTTCCTGGCGGCAGCCGCTGGAGGACTGCCTTGCCTCCCTTCCCAACCTCCCCAGGCCTTCGGAACACGGAGTGGCCGGGCCGGACGCAGGTGCTGCGGCGCGGGCCCCTCACCTGGTACCTGGACGGCGCGCACACCTCCAACAGCGTGCAGGCCTGCGTGCGCTGGTTCCGGCAGGCGCTGCAGGGCAGCCAGAGGCTGAGCGCGTGAGTGCCGAGTGGGGGCGGGGCCTGGGGTGGACGGGCGGGGGCGGGGCCAGAGTGGAGGAGGGACGGGATATGGGGGAAGGGCTGGGGCGGGAGGCGCGCGGGTCTGACCCCGCTCCCTGCCCCTGGTGCAGTGGGCCTGAGGTGCGTGTCTTGCTCTTCAACTCCACCGGGGACCGGGACTCCGCCGCCCTGCTGAAGCTGCTGCAGGTGAGGGGCCGACTTGGGGATGGGCAGCGGGCAGCCCAGCAGTCCTGGGTCTGGCTGTGTGGCCCCTGGGGGCATGCCTGCCTTTGCCCATCCTTCTCCCATGAATTGTCCTGCGGCTTAAATGTGGAAGCATCATGCACTTGGGGAAGTCTGGTTATAGGTCTTACCCTCATTCTCCGTGGGCAGACACAAGCCTGGGGTTAAAGGTGAAAGCTCCAGACTCTCTAGTCATGCCCCTTTAGGCACTAGCAGCAGGAGGAGAGATGGCATTTCCTGCCTCAATTTGCGTCTCCACTTGGGGTACTGGGGTACCTGTTTCTCAAGTTGCATTTAAGAATTCACTGGGCTATAAAGCATGTAGAGGCCCTTCTCTGCTTAGGGAAACTGAGGCTACCCTAAGCCTTCAGGGCTAAAGTGGCCCCTGGGAATCATCTCCCACTTCACAGACCAGGAGGCTGAGGCCGTTTGTATCCAAAGCCTCTCCCACTTGTGCCGAGTCTTTTCCCCAGCCTGACTTGGGGCCTGCTCACTAGCTAGGTGACCTTAAGCAAGTGGCTCCCCAGCCTCTGTTCCCTCATCTATACACTAGAGTCCTGTGCCCTCGCTCCCCAGGGCACAGGCCAGGCAGGGTACGTTGGGTGGATGGGGGGTAGACTCTGAAGTGTAGCTGGGTTTATGTGGCATCCCTGTAGGTCATGGGAGGGGGGGTGTGTGGAAATCCGGGGACATCCTCTCCAGGCCTGACACCAATTCTTTCCCCTTGGCCTTCTAGCCCTGCCAGTTTGACTATGCTGTCTTCTGCCCCAACCTGACAGAGGTGGCATCCACAGGCAGTGCAGGTGAGAGGTGACAGGCATGGTCCCTGGGTGTGGATGGGGGCAGAGGGCCCTGAGGTGGACTGCTGCTCTGTTGGTGACAGTGAGGTCTGGAGTAGGAGATAGATTTGTTTTATTGTACAAGTAAACTTGGTGTATTTTGAATTTTGTACCATGTAGTCGCAATACTAAAAAAGAATTATCAGGGAGAACATTTTTCAAAATGTAGGTTACAGCCCACTGGCTATTGAAATCAATTTAGTGGATTTCAACCAGCACTTTTTAATTTAATTTAATTAATTTATTTTTTGAGGCAGAGTCTGGCTTTGTTGCCCAGGCTAGAGTGAGTGCCGTGGCATCAGCCTAGCTCACAGCAACCTCAAACTCCTGGGCTCAGCGATCCTACTGCTGCAGTCTCCCGAGTACGTGGGAGTACAGGCATGCACCACCATGCCCGGCTAATTTTTTCTATATATATTAGTTGGCCAATTAATTTCTTTCTATTTAAGTAGAAGGCGGGTCTCGCTCTTGCTCAGGCTGGTTTCAAACTCCTGACCTTGAGCAATCCGCCCCCCTCGTCCTCCCAGAGTACTAGGATTACAGGCGTGAGCCACCGCGCCCGGCCACATTTTTTTATTTTAAATGATAGAGTAGAAGATATCTGTGCATTGTATGAAGTAAGGGTAGGTACTGCTTTGTGAAGATTCTTCTTGTTCCGATGATATGTGTATAGTACATCATATATATAATATATACCTATACTTCATATGAGTACTGGGTTGCAATATAAAGTGTATTTTTTACTGTGTATTATGTTTAAAAAAGTTCAGAATAATGTAAAAAATATAGATCTCCAGGCCTCAAATCAAACTATCTAGGGAGAGTTCTGGAATTTTTAACCAGCTTCCCAAGAAAAACTTATGCCCACCTAGTGAAGGGCCCCAACTGTATGTCCATTTTTACAGATAAAGACACTGAGGCCAAGGTTGGGAAATGGTGCTTAGTGGGCAGCAGCTTTGGAGCAAGACTGCCTGGCTCTGCCTGTCATGACCTTGGGCAAGTCACTTAACCAGTCTGAGCCTGTTTCTTCATAGTGCGTACTATGAAGACCAGTAGCAGCGTCCATTGACGTGATGTATGTGAAGGATCTGGTGCTACGCAGGTGCTCACAGTGCACCCCTGTCCCCCATTCCCTGTTCCCTTCACTGACATGTCTGTCTCTGTGCCCGGCAGACCAGCAGAACTTCACAGTGACACTGGACCACGTGCTGCTCCGCTGCCTCGAACACCAACAGCACTGGAACCGCCTGGATGAGGAGCAGGCCAGCCCGGACCTCTGGAGCAGCCCCAGCCTGGAGCCTGGAGGGCCGGCGTCTCTGCTGCTGGCGCCTCGCCCACCCCACAGCTGCGCCAGCTCCCTCGTCTTCAGCTGCATCTCCCACGCCTTGCAGTGGATCAGCCAAGGCCGGGACCCTGTCTTCCAGCCACCCCGTCCCCCAAGGGGCCTCTTTGCCCACCCTGTGGCAGCTAGCGGGGCCAGTGTACTCCAAGAGGCTGTTGCCATCCACGTGCTGGTCACCGGCAGCCTGCACCTGGTGGGTGGTGTCTTGAAGCTTCTGGAACCCTCCTTGTCCCAGTAGCCAAGGCCGAGGGGTTGGATTGGGAGCCTCCCACACCTGCCCTGCACTCTCTCCATGAACTCACGTCCTAGGTGCCTTTCATTTTCTGATTCTGCCTAGACTGGCCCAGGGCCCCAGGCTCTGGGTGGCAGAATAGAGGGCCTGGGGGCAGGAGGCTGGGAGAGGATGTCCTCTGTCTTTGAGGCTCTGTGCCTTGCCTTCTCCTTCCTCCTGGCCGAGACAGCGAGGGACTTCCCGAGTCTCTCACTGCCAGAGGAGGCCTGGCCGCCCGCCTCCCCTCCCGCCCTGCCGCCTCCTGGCTCGGGCCCAGCTTATTGTGTGAGCTGCCTGGCCAGGCCTAGGGTCCTGCCGGCTGCCCGGGGATAGATTCCTCCTCCCAGTGCCTTCCGGGAAAGGTGACGGCCCCTGCTTGGGGCACCCTAGGGACAGAGGGTGGCTGGAATGGATTAAAGCTTTAAACTTTTTTAAAAAAAGAAATGGCAAAACCTTTGACTCTTGACCTCCAGCTCCTTCAGTAAACAGTGGGGGGATGGGCGGCAGCTGCTAAAGGAACTGGATTGTGTAGACGGAGCCTGGGCTGTGACAAGTCCCCTCCTCCCTCAGAGCCTCAGGTGGCCTGTCTGGGACATAAGAAGATGGGACTGATGTCTGTTGATGGCACGCAGGGCACTGCTTTGCAGAGCTCCTTGCAGAGACCGTGTGATGGAGAATGCTTCCTGTTTTACAGTTGAGGGAACTGAGGCTGTCCTCAGGAAGCCATGGGACCTGCCCATAGTCACAGCCAATGAGTGGCGGGTGCAGGATTTGAACTCAGAGCTGTCTGGAAGCCCAGGGCGGGAATGTGGAGGAGGCCTCCTAGCATTTGGCTCCTCAGGGCCCGAGTCCAGGGGCGTGCTGCCCAGCTCACGGGTGGCAGAGCGGTTGGTTTAACCCAAACTTGCTGTGCCCCGGCCACCTGCTACTGTTCAGGAGGCCACAGCTGCCACCCACCTAGCCCAATGGGTGCCAAGGACAAGAGCAGCCCTGTCCTGTGCCCTCACCCCCTTGTTTTAGACGTTCCTCCCCTTCCCCTAGCCCAGCCTGGGGTTGGTTTTGTGGTCTGATTTATTGTGGGGGATATACAGGGGCGGCCCAGGACAAGCCGCCCGGCGCTCCCCACCTGCTGCCTGCCTGAAGGGCAGGGGGTCTCCATGTGGCTCTCCCACCCCCGCTGTTCTTGTCACCCCTGGCCTCCCAGGCTGGCCCCCCCAAGGCTACTGTCTCCCACAGCACAGTTGTGCCAGTCCAGGCATGGGGGCCGCTGGGACAGGTCCAGGTGGCTCTGGGCTGGGCCCTCTTCCGTTCCCATGGGGGAGGCGCTGTCGGGCTGGGCTGGGGCTGTTCTGAGTTCTCCCCGCCCAGCCTGGTTCCCCAGTGCCATGTCCAGGTTCAGTGACAGGGACTTGGGCTTCAACAACAACATGGAAAGTGGCCTCTCTCCATGGTCCTGGGCAGCCGGATCCCAGACCCACTGGGTTGAACATTCTGGGCAGTGGGGTAGGGGGACCCCGAGGTGTTCCCAGCCGGTGCCCCCACTGGCAGCAGGCCTCTGAGAGAGAGGCGGGAAGCGTGGGCGCAGACAGCATGCTCCGTCCTCAGAGTGGAGGACTCGGCTCCTGGGGCGAGTTCATGGCCAGTGGCTCCCAGCTGGTGGCTGCTCAGTCTGTCCTGCTGGGAGAGGGCTGGCCGGCCGGCGCTACGCCATGCTGCTGGTGGAGCAGGGGGTGCTCTGGGTGCTCCCGATGCTGTGGTTGGTGCTGCTGCTCTCCGAGGAGGCAGGGGCAGCCACCGCCACCACGGGCTCCCGCTTGCTGGGGGAACCTGGGAGCAGGGGCAGGGGCAGAGGGAGGTCAGGGCCCCGGCCAGGGCTCCCCACTCCCTCAGAGGCTTCACTGGGCTCCCCCAGGCGGGTGGGGGGCCTGCGTGCTCACTGCGGGGGCCTGGGGTACTCACGCGTGTGCAGGTAGATGTACCAGAGCGCGGCGGTGAGCAGGGCCCCGATGAGGAAGGCGCCGAAGGTGAGGCCCAGCACGGCGGGCAGGAGCAGGCCCTTGCCTGTGCAACCTGGAGAGGGCCGGCTGCGGTCAGCACTGCCCAGCACTGCCGCCGCCTCCCTGCCCCACCCTGTCGTGCCGGCAGGGAGCACAGGTTTTGGTGCCAGTCCTGCCCGGCCATGTGACCTTAGGTCAGGCCCGCCCGCCCCTCCCTGAGCCCTGTGCCAGGTAGAGAATGGGTCAGAGCTCCTCCCAGGGCTCCTGGCTCTGCATTTGGGTGTTCCAGGCCTCATTCCTGCCACACCCCTGGCTACCATGTGACTGTGGGCCAGGTGCCTCCCGTGGGCCTGGCTTCCCATCCATGCTGTGGGGCATTAGCCCTGCTTTCTTGCTCCTGGCTGGGGCTGGGGGCTCCATCCTGGCCTGGATGGGGTAGCAGAGAGGTGGGGGGCCCCATCCTCACCCCCACCTCTGCCGCAGTGTCAGGGACTTTTCTGCCTGGTGGCGGCCTGGGCCTGGTGGGGGGCTGGCTGAGGGGATGACCTCTACACTGGGGGCCTCAAGGAAGGCAAGGCCAGCACCACATGCTAAGTGCCTTTTGTCCCATCAAGGAGACCCCAGTCTCCTAGCAAGGTCAGCTGGTAACCATGGCGATGGAAAAGCACAGCGCACAGGGAGCCAGAGGCCTAGAAGCCCATCCCATGGGGTGCTCGTGAGCTGGGTCTCCATCTAGAAGCTGCAGCTGTGGATCCGACTCCAGGCTGCTGGGCGCTGGGAAGCCCTTCTCCTGCCCCTCCTCCCGGCTTCCCCCGGGATCCCCCCTGCCATGTGCCCAGGCCCCACTTCTCCCGGCTGTCCCCTGTGCCCTACTCCGAGCTCAGCCACTGGAACAAAGCCCTGGAGACGGGAGACGCAGGGGGAACTCACCAGACAGGTCAGGGCTGATGACGTTCAGGCGCATGGAGACAGTCCTGTGCAGGTCCTGGGGAGAAGGGAGAGCAGCCTGTGGCGCAGCCCTTGGGAGGAGCTTCCAGCTTACTCCCCGGCTCTGCGACCCTGTCCCAGCCCACTCCGGGGCCTTGGCTTCGAATCCCATCTCCACTGCTGGGATGTTCGTGGCGAGTGCCTGGAGGCCCCTGACGCCCGTGAGCACTGTGGGAGCCCCTTCCCCCCACGTCCTTCACCCTGGTGAACACCTTGGAGCGCCCAGCATGGTCAGCCCAGAGGCCCAGGCACACTGGCTGGAGGCAGAGGCTCCCTCAGGGGTGCCCTGAAGGCTGCCCTGGCTTCCTACATCCAGGAGGCTTTTAACCCTGCGGACCTTTCTGTGTGCAGGGGCCTGGGGCTGACTCTGTGAGTGTCTAGGACCGAGTGCCTGAGAACGGGGGTTCATCAGGCAGTGAAGTGTTATGATCAGCAGATGCAGAAGGTCACAGTTTTGTGTCCTTTGTCTTAGCCCCCTTCCCTAAGGTCTCCTGTTAATGGGATTACACTGGCGATCACACCACATGGACAGGCGAGTGGACGGGTGCCTGGGGTGGGTGGATGGATGCCTGGGTGGTACTGTGGGGGGGGCAGATGCCTGGGTGGTACGGCAGGTGGGGGGTGGCAGGTGCCTGGGTGGTACGACAGGTGGGGGTGGACAGATGGAGGGATGATAAGTGGGAAGTACAAGGACAGATGGATAGTTTAGCTGTATATTCTGCTAATGCCCGAGACACAGCAGTCCCACCAGAAGGCTGTAGGGTAGCAGAAAGAGCATCCCTGGAAGCCAGACTGTTAGGCCACATGCTTGACTATGGCTCTGCCCCTTGTCAGCTAGTCCCACGTCCCTCTGGGCTGCCATGTCCCTGCTTAAAAACCCCAGACTCAGTAGTTGCCCCTGAAGCTGGGCATGGCCCAGAACCCACTCACCTGGGACCAGGTCCTAGGGCGCAGGGCTACTGTGCAGCTGAGGGTGCCAGTCATGGGTGTGGGCACCATGTAGACGCGGAGGAGGAAGCTGAAGCGCAGGTCGCCGTTAGGGCTCGGGGACAGCATGTTCACACAGCTGCTCTTGGCCACCCGGCCCTGGATGAGTTCCACGGTGTCCCCCTCAGGCCCCAAATCCAGGTGGCAGCTGTCTAGCTGGAGCAGGAACTCAGGGATGGGTGGGAACACGCTCACCTGTGTGGGTAGGTAGGGGACAAGGTGTGAGCAGTTAATCTTGATCCTCCACCTGACCTGTTCTCTTGAAATATGAGCTGGTGGGAAGAGCGGCCACACGGAGTCCTAATGGTGGGAGGAAAGGCCTGGGCCTGCCTGGGGCAGATAAGGAGGAGAGGCTGACACTCCTGGCAGTGTCCCGGAGCAATGCCTCCTCTGCCTGTCCCCCATGTGCCCAAGCTGGCTCCCCCCTTACTTTGGGAAGTGAAATTCTCATCTCATCTCTGGAGCAATGGTGGAAAGACAGGCGCGTGAGGAATCCCAGGCGCTGGGAGGCCTGGGGGTGCCAGCCGTACCTGCACGAAGCCCTGCTGGCCCAGCTCGAGGGTGCTGGAGGCCTGGAGGAAGTTGGGGCTGAGGTAGAGCCCCAGCTGGAAGGACAGGCTTTCCACGTCGACGCACTGCACCGTTTTCTGTGGAAGGACAGGAAGGGGACTTGGTCAGTCTGGTGGCAGCAGTCAGGAAGGCGACAGGGTGGTGTAGGAGCAGGTGTCCGGCCCAGGGGAGCTGCCTGACTTTCAGCCTCACCTTTATAAAAAAACGAATAGTATCAAGAATGCCCCGAGCCAGGCCGTGTGGAGGGCTTGGCCTGTGTCACCCCAGAGACCACTCCTAAGCACCCCTACGGGGTAGGGTCCTTCTCATGCCACAGTTTACAGACGATACCTTTGGGCCCAGAAAGCTTAAGTGATTTGCCCAAGGCCACACAGCCGATATGTACTAGAACCCTCTGCCTTGAGAGGCTGAGAGCGTGGCCCTCAACAGTACTGCTCTCCCATCGTGCAAAGGGGAGACTGAGGCACGCTGGAGACATGGCTTGCCAGGGTCAGAGCCTGCTCCCTCCAAAACCAGGAAGGGGCCTAGCCTGGGACGCAGACCCCGGACTGGGCGGTCAGCACAGCGACCATCCATCTCACCCGCTGTGGTGATGAGCTCCACGGGAAGTTGACGACCACCTGTGGGGACAGGGCCAAGGAGCCAGTCAGAGCCAGAAAGACCTGGGGGTATCCCAACCAACACACCCCTTTCATGAGCCAGGCTTGTCTTACGTTCTACTGAGCACCACACCCTGGTCTCCCAGACGCCCCTCAGCGCAGAGGGCAGGGAGGCCCTGGAGGGGCACCAGCCGGGCTGGTCCTGGCATTTTTCAGGTCCCCGACCTTACCTCATTGCTGATCACGTGTGCAGTCACTTCCATGCCACAGCTGGAGTAGGTGCTATGCAACACCAGCTGGTCACCACTGTCC